TTTCTTTCCTTAATTAACATCAACTTTATATTTTTATACTAGAAATTATCCGCATCTTGCTGCGCACCATTTAATTAAGCAATGAAACGGGCTCATCAATGATTGATACAATACAATATATATTAAGTTAGGAAAATAGTACCAGGTAAAAAGTTAAACAAACAACTTTTTTTTAGTGAAAATCAGTATTATCATGTATATGCAATGTCGGTCGGCTGAACCTGGTATAATTGGTATTGGCGATGAAACCGGATGGAATACCATTGGTATTGTCGGCATGATTGATTTTTGGCCTCTAAACAAAATGACGTTATTTTAGTGAATAATTAATAAAATATTAATTTATGAATTATTTCATGAATTTGAAAGCTAAATGTTGATGTTATTTTTAGAATTTAAGTATATACGCTTGGATGTTGATGTTAAATATTGTATTTATATTTGAGTATCTATTATTTTTTATAGAATGTTGTATTTATTAAACATGGATGTAGATTATAAGTAGATTGTCTTGAAATATGTTTTACATATGCTTAAATTCATTAGATGTTAATGATTTTTTTTATTTATACATATTTTGTTAAATCGGCATGAACTGACATAAATAGATTGTACCCGAATAAAATTGTTACCACTAGCTAAACCAGACGCAACGGTATAAAATGTTTTGACAACCTTGATGAAGATAAATTACCTAATTTTAATAAATTATTTTCTTTCAACTCACACGGCGACGATCAACCATTTCTCTCTCTATCTTCCCTTCATGGCTTGCTTTTCCCTTCATTTCCTCTTTTGCCCTCCCATTGTTCTTTCGCTACATCTGGTTCAACGAAGAAGGAAAAGAAATTAACTCATTTTTAGCTTTCTTGCATGTGTTTGTTTTTCTAGTTTATGCAAATTCACTTTCTGTCAGTTCTACATGTAAAGTTTTATGATGGTTCGTGGGATGCTCTTCTAGAAGAATGACAGAAAACATAGCTTAAAAACCAGAGAAATAGTACGAAAAACCACCTGAGAGACCCACATTAATAAAATCCGGCCCAAAATCCAACAGTTGAAAAAGCCCTTTAATAGGCCCATTTTGTCGGAGGGTTTACTTGTAACTAAGGCTAACTAAAACTATCTTAGGCAACAGTAACTATGCATTTAACTTTATATATATATATATATTAATTAGGGAGAAAGAAAATATTTCTATAGCATGCCATTATATACCGTGGTGTAGGAGAAATTATTTAATGGTGAAATGTAATATTAATAAATGATGGTAGTATATCAGTATATGTGGCCCGATAATTGTTTATCTGAAAATTGGTATTATTTTCTAGATCAGTAAATTCGTCTTTTGACTTTTGTGTTACTTGTTTAAAATTATAAGTAAAACAAAGAGATACAAGAAGATTAGAAAATAAACAATTAAAAAAAATGTTTTAATCTCAATCACCAACTTTGTGAAGTTTCAAAACAAGAGATCTATCTAGGTATCCATATATGCATGACAATGAGTTAGCATTTGATCCTTGCTGAATCTTTTTATTTTTATTAGTCTACAAGCATGAATTAATGGGTTTTTTTTTCTTGTACGAAGGTCGAAAGCGTTGTTGCGCACGTGATGACCCCCAACGGCCCTATTTTTGCACAAAATGGTGCAAGAAACATTAACTACTCACTGCATTACACTCTGGATTCGTTGTTTGGGGCCAACAATCAACGGAAAAAAAAATTAACTACTCTACTGTAACGATGGAATACCACAACATGCACTGCAAGGCCGTCCTAGAAGGGTGGATTTATTAGACTTTTATGTATACCGGTTGATGAAAGAATGAAAGACAACATTACAAAAAAAAGCATACTATTGCTTCACTTATTATATTTCCCTTTGTCATCGCAGTTTCGTGTTCTTGGTTTCCATTTATTTTCTTTCACCTCATTTTGTTGAGTTCATGTAACTCCTACTTTTTCTTGTTTACAACGGTTGTCATCCCTTAAATAAAATATAGACTGTTCACCATATCATTGCTTCCACACAAACAAGCAGTAGTTGTGCCAAAAATACGAACAAGAATGCTAAAAAGTTGGGTGCTCCTACGGTGACATGCATGTCACGGTGACTTGCACTTTTCGGTCGAACACAGTTAGGATTGGGTCGACCTCATTTAGGATTATGTCGACCTAATCTGTTGTTTCAGTGTAAAAAGAGTTTCATGGTGCCTACTTTGGATATTCATATCATACAATTGGCTAGATGGAAATTTAAGATTAATGGCTTGTTTCGAAGTTGGAGTGTCCCTCTACATATTGAAGTGATTGAGAGCTCGATAGGAAGTCCAGAATACCATTTTTGAACCTGATCAAAAGGCTATGCTAAAATTGGGAAACTGCCTGAAAATGGCTAGTCTAGAAACGTGTTTGTGAAGTCTACTTTGGAGCTAAATTCGAGAAGCATGAATGTGAGTCGAGTTCAGGGGCCTCTAACACGTTAAATTAGGTATGTTTTTATACAAATTCAAGACATTGGATGAAATATTGGATATCTGTAAGGCTTCAAACAAAAGGATCGAAGTTGCTACGAATGCTGTTTTTCTAGCAGACTTCGAGCACAAGCAAGCTGCTAGAAAAACGGCTTTTGTAGCAACTTCGAGCCTTTTTTTTTTTTTTGAAGCCTTAAAGATATCCAATCTTTCATCCAATGCCTTGCCTTTGTAGACAAACATACCTAATTTAACGTGTTATAGGCCCCTGGACTCGAATCGCATCCATGCTTCTCAAATTGAGCTCCAAAATAGGCTTCACAAACACGTTCCCAGACTTAGCCATTTTCAGGCAGTTTCCCAGTTTTGGCATAGCCTTTTGATCAGGTTCAAAAATGGTCTTCTGGACACTTCAGCTTCAAAACAAGCCATTAATATCCAATTTCCATCTAACCAATTGTAAGATATGAATCTCCAAAGTAGGCACCATGAAACTATTTTTACACTGAAACAATAGATTAGGTCGACCTAATCCTATGTGAGGTCGACCGAAAAGTGCATGTCACCGTGACATGCATGTCACCGTAGCAAAGTCCTAAAAAGTTAACTCTCAAGTAATTTGAACCATGACAATTTAGGAAGCTAAACTCTTACCAATTATTTTATTTTCCAAATTTATTATGGAAGTTAAATATATTTTTATCTATTTTTTTGTGAGTTTATGGGAGCTGTAACCCCTACTACTAGCGTGGCTTTACCCTTGCTTCCAAAATAAAATACTATATTATATATTATGAAGCATAGAAAATACAATAATAATCTTTGATTAAACACTTCAAGAACAAGAATGAAAGTGTCTACCTATCATTTTGCAGGTTTTGATGTTTCGGAGATGTGGCCTCTTGGCTTGGACTCGGTTGGAGAAGCTTTGAAGACCGAAGATCTTCCCTTTGAATTCATCACCAGCCGAACGATTTTGATGGTTTCCGCTTTGTTGGCGGTTCGCATGGCTGTTGTCGATTGGTGTTGGAGGGGTCGTGGTGGAGTTTTGTCTTCGTTCCTTTCCCTTCTGTTGCCTTGGTTGCTCAGAAGGCTGCAGGTGGGACCGTTGGCCTGAGGTTACCAGTGGCGGCGGTGGCGGCTCCAAAGGTACGACATGACCCATAAAGTATTCATGTTCGTGCCATGTTGGCTCATATATTTTATCGTCTTTCTCTAACAGTGTCGTGATGCTTGTGCTAACCCGTGGGCAGCCTACTCAGTGCTTAGGTACAATCCTAAGACTAACATTGAGCTAAAGTGAGATAGTAGCTAGTTCTTGGAACTTTGCATCCCAAACCCATTTATTTTTTACTCAAATCCTATTCACTAACTTAAACTAAAATATTGGTTCTTCTTTTATTTTTTATAACAATCCATCATATTATAAATCAATCATGGAATCTTTATCATAGAAGATAACAAAAAGATTGGTGGTCTGCTGACCAAGTATTCATGGGCCTCCTAGCTAGTTACACATAATCTATGTTTGGCTTGGCTTTAACAATAGTTTTTCTGCTTCAAAAGTTGAACATGAACAAACAACTCTAAGTTTGACTTTTGATAAATTGAAAAGTCTTTTTGTATAACATTGAAGCTTATGCGAAAAACCGTTTTAAAAATACATCCTACGACAATGTGACAAAATTCCGGGTTGTCACCTGATATGCTCTGTGGTAACAAAACTAGAAATGATGACGAATTGAAATTTTGTCACCGTAGACCTTATTTGTTGTTGTGACTCTACCAAGAACCCTAACTCGCTTCCATACATATGGTCATAGATATCCAAAATAACATACAAACTACGCATGGGGCTATGGGCTATACAATCATGGTCCACTATCATTCAACAATCTCCTTTAAATTGACGGAGGTCTCAATTCATCAATTTGCCAGCAAAGTAGGAGTGACAATCAGTAGAAAACACCTTAGTGTGCAATATGATCTTGCGTGTGACATAATTATTGAGGCTAGCTAATAGCACCATCTCGAGCCATGTCACAGATGTAGTGAACATGAATTGTTTGGTGTTTGTCATGAATGACCGGATCAGACGCAAACTAAATTGCACTATGGGCTTTAAAATGGCGGCCCATTATCACTCAACACAACCATATCCATATTTTTATATTGAATGAATTATTCATAATTGTATTAAAAATATCAGTTGATTTATTCACAAAAATGTGAATTGGTTATTTATATATATTTTACATGAAATGGAATTTGTTATGATACGAGCCATTCGTAATAATCAAGAAATATATGGGCTCATATAATTTTTTGTAGTTTTATTATTTAGTTAGTGTTTTGTATTAATTGAGATATTATAATTGTTTACTTGTCTTAGTAGGATTATGATTGTTTTTTAGTATGTTTAGAATTTGGTTATCGTTTCCTTGTGGGAGTAGTATTCATGTTCTAGATAGGAGAAGGTAGAGGCTTCCTATACCTATAAATATGTATTGTGTCTTTAGTTTAATAATATGAGAAGATTGAAACCCAAATAGCTAGTAGTAGCTTAGGAGTAGTCTTCGATCATCAACATTTCTCTTCGTCCTAAGTCTATTTCTCTTCGTTCTAAAGCCATTATCGAGTTCCTTTGTTCGATTCATGAAAGACACGTTGCGTGGAAGCTCTAATCCGGAAAATCCACGTAATAATTGGTAACACCATCACATGCTATCTAGTACTCCGGCACCGCAAAATCATGTTGCTTATCATAACGAAGGAGTGGCTCGCCCAGTGGAATCAATACATGTTGAAGTATCACCCCAGCGGCATCGAATCCCATTTGTCAGCGTCGCTGTCATGTGACACAACCTCCGTCGTCATCGAACCACCCGCGCTTCCAGCTACCACAGGAGGATGTGACTCCGATCAATGCAAAGCTCAATTCGTAGCAACACCAACATCACCATCTTCCGTTGTTGTCGAGGAATCCGTTTCCGCCGCAACTGTAAGGGATGAACCGCCAGCACAACCCGCCGCCCTCAGGAACGTCGGCGTGGAGGATGTCTTGGTCTAGCTAGCCGAGATGAAAGCGTTCTCTCAAGCGTCCTACAAAAAGCTCCAATCACTTTTGACGGCTGCCATCACCGCAGCCACGACCCATGAGGAGGATGTCACGAAGACCGAGGAGGAAACTGTAACACCCTACCCTATACGTATTACCTAATCATATTGTTCATACATTTGCAGCGGAAATAATCTCGAGTGTTATATTAATTACCAAAATTTACCCAAATAAAATTTCGACATGAATTACTCGCGTAATGGGCTAACAGTTCTTGTAACTAAAACCTGCAAAATAATTTATCTGAATCCCTGCATCCATAGACATACACATATACCCATAACCATATACATTGGCTTTCATAGCCATAGTCACAGCTTTCATACTCCACAACTGCATACCATACTTATACATACCATAATCGTCACAACTTACATAGTTACACAAAATATACACATAACATCAACTTTCCACACCTGTGGATATCTCACACTACATCAGAAGCTAGTATGCACATGAAAAACGTTCTCAAACCATTTTTTTACAAAAAAGGTGTGGATCACTGGGCAAAATCCCCTGTAGTAGTCCAAGCACAGAATAGTTGAAGACCATACCTCATCTTGCCTTCAACTCTTTCTCAGCTCCCACCTATACACCTATCTACTGCTGCTGGTGATGATGATCTGCTTACACATGGCATAAGTAGAGAAAAAGGATAAAGAGGGCCAGCTCATCGCATAGTGAGTTCATAACCAGCATACCCCTACCATACATCTAACAATCAAGCCAAAGCACTAGGATCAGACCTCAGCCATCCGACATCCCAATAGGCCAAAGGCTCAACCACCTTGACTTATGCATATGCATCTTATTATGTTTTAATCATAGGCGCCTGGCTACTCCCATGCTAATAACTCTCCCGGGAAACATACCCTACATCCCGTCGGATGTAGTCATACATACCCCAACATCCCGTCGGATGTGGTCATACATACCCCACACCACAATGGGTGTTGTCATACCCCGACACCGCTCTAGGAGTGGTCATATCTCGTAAAAATTCTTCAGTCACCACCACATGAGAGGTGTGATTATCATACATATCATAATAGAGTAATAGCATAGGGAGCCCTAATTACTATGTAGTTGACCGTGAGAACATAACACTCATATTTGGTATCCTTATACATGATTCATATCTCATCTTGCTTAATCATTATTCATTACTTGCACATGTACTTGACCTGGACATAATTGGCTCAACATAGGTAAATCAGGATTCGTATAATTGCACTTCCTCGGGATAAACCCTCTTTCAAGTCATCCTCCTTAAACATCATAATATCATCCTGGGAAGTTTATTTCCCCCACTTGGGAATCCAAATACAACCACAATATCACATCATGTCAAAACACTTGATCGAACAACCATGAATTCATATCAACAGTTAAGCCACAAATGGCAACATGTATGCAATCATCAACATAAACAAGGTCCATATCGGCTAGGGCAAGTCAATAATATCATACAACAATCCATGGTTCATCATATAGCATAAAAGTCCATACACCCCTAATCATGCCATTCTAATTCACCTAGGTCAATTCTAGACATCAATATAATTATCGTGATACGACAAACCCGGTATGCCGTGCTAATCCCTCACCAGTTCTGGTCGTTCAAACACCGGTTTAACCTTCTCGTACTAAAACGTCAATTTCACGAACGAACCCCGAATTAAATTCCAAGGCCGTCCTAATATCCCCTGCAGTATCCCCGTCAATATTAGTTCTAGGCTTCAGGTCAAATTCTTGATAAAAACAATTCAAACCCTGGCCGGAGCTAAATTCAGCGATTTGGACCCCGACCTAAATAATTGCTGAAATTCAAGGATTAGAACTAGAGGATTGATTACCTCGCTGCAGGAAGCTCGTATATGAAATTTGGACACAATCCGGCTTTCGGATACTCCGAAACTCTAATTTGGCTTATCGGGAATTCAAGAAATTCCTGAACCAAAAACTCATTTTAAAGCTCTAAATCGATAAATCACGATGTATAGATGAATTAGGCATTACTTATGGAATTTCTGAATAAGTAAAGGTCAAGATTTTGAGCTCTTAAAATTTTCCCCGAGCTCCCCTGTTCTGCGCTCGGTTCCTTCTTCTCTCGGTAATGAAATGATGATGGGAGAAAGAAATGGGACAAAAGTAATGAGAAATGAAGAGGTGGGGGTTTCTGGCGTGTGTATGTAAATGTAATGGGCGGACCGCTTACTTTCCTTTACTTTTCATTTTTCTAGTATTACATATAATATTATATATATAATTAATACGTATACCTATCTGATCGATCAATAATCCAATTTGCGTCGAAATATTATCAAACCCTCGATTTTAATTGCGTAATATTTCTAGCGACAGTAATACGATTTTAGCCGAAACGGGATGTTACAGAAACTATGGAGACCACTACTGTTGTTCCAACGACGGCACTCGCCACCACCATCATCGTCGCTTCCGCTGCCAAGGAAGAAGGTGTCGTTGACGCAACTCCATCTTTATCACGCGTAGAATTGACAGCCGCCCCCGACGTCAAACCGGCTATGAAGGAGCTAGCCCTAGCTCCGAAACCATCGCCTACATCACCACCGGTCATCACCGTCCCAACCGTACCATCAATCGTACCACCATCGGAAGAGCTGCCGCCATAGAACTTTAGAAAGGAGGAACTGCTCCTTGCTCAAACGTTCAACTTTGTTGTCCGTACTGTAAGGATTAGCAACCGTGAGTTTATGTTATTGATACAATGGTATATTTATACATATAATAATACATTATACAACTTGTAACAAGGAAATGTAACACAACTATACTAAGGAGATTGAATACAAGTATGAAAAGGACTAAAAGATCTAGACAGACAAAGACTTGTCCCTAATACGCCCCCGCAAGATGGAGGCTGCGTTAGCTAGCCCAATCTTGGAGCAGAGTAAGCAAAAGCGAGTGACTGGTAGACCCTTGGTAAGCACATCAGCAAGTTGAGACGGAGTGGGAACATAAGAAGCAACCAGTTGCTTTGATTGAACAAGCTGACACACGAAGTGATAGTCGAGAGGAAGGTGCATCATGCGGGAGTGAAATAAATGATTGGAGCTTAAGGAAACAACACCCATGTTGTCGGAGTAGAGCTGAAGTGTAGAAGAGAGATGCCGGTGAAGCTTGACAAGAAGATTACGAACCCATTGAATTTTAGATGTGGCCAACGCAATGGCATGATACTCAGCCTTGGTACTCGATCGAGCAACAGTCCATTGCTTCTTTGACTTCCCAAAATGAGAGTGTCGCAAGATAGACAAGAAAGCCTGAAGTAGACGTACGATCATCAATATCACCCGCCCAATCGGAGTCGGAAAACACACGAAGAGTGAAAGGGGTAGTCTGACGACGAATGTGCAAGCTGAGAGTGGGCATGCCAGCAATGTAACGACGGTTAACCAAGCGGAAGACTCACTAGAAGGAGTGGAACGAGGAGTAGGAGAAGAGACACCAGGGAATTTGATTTCAACGAATACGACATGATGGGACAAAAAGACACTATTTTTAGTTGGGATCAAGACATTTATAAGCACTTTGTTGGTGAGGGTAACCTAGAAAAATGCAAGGACAAGAGCGAGGTTGAAGTTTATGTGAGCTATATGGACGAAGCCAAGGAAAGCAAAGACAACCAAAGATGCGAAGTTTAGTATAATTAGTAGGTTGATTAAAAAGTTCTTGAAAGGGAATTCGACTACGAAGAGCCGAGGAAGGAAGACGATTAATAAGATAGATAGCAGTGGTGAAGGCATAAGACCAATATGTAAGAAGCAACTTAGCCTGATGGAGAAGTGAAAGACCAGTTTCAACAATGTGATGATGCTTTCTTACAGAAAGACCATTATGTTTAGGAGTGTAGGAGGAGTGAGTAAATGAGTGATGCACTAGAAATCAAGGTGTTTTTAAGCTTTTGAAATTCACCACCACCATCAGTATATAATCGTTATATGCAAGTAGAAAAGTAGTTTTAACAAGCTTTTGAAACGCAGTGAAAGTAGCTAGGACATCATATTTATATTGAATGGGATAGATCCATGTATATCTAGTAAAATGATCAACAGGGACTAAATTGTGTGAATAACCATCAATAAAAGTAACAGGAGTAGGACCCCATACATCAGAAAAGATTAAATCTAGTGGGCGAGTACTAGACAGATTTGAATGAGAAAATGAAAGTTTGTGACTCTTATTAGAAAGACAAGACAAACATGGAAATACTAGATTTTGGAGACACAAGAATAGAACGAGTATGACTTAAATGAGGCAGAGACTTAAACGAAGGATGAGCAAAACGACGATGCCAACAATCTAAGGAATTCCGAGTAGTGACCAGTGCCAACTGGCCAGCCTGCGACGCGCCAGTAAGCTCATAAGTGTCGCCTCTATTCCTTCCTTTCAGCAGCGGGGCCCCCGTGGTTAGGTCCTTCACAACAAGAGAATCAACAAAAAATTCAACCGATACCGGATTTGTACGACAAAGCTTAGCGACGAAAATAAGACACTTCTTAAGAGCAAGAACACAAAAAATATCATGAAGAGTGAGTGGCGTAGACGTGGACGAGCGTAAATGAGAGGAACCAATATGGGTGATACGCATCGCCAAGATAAACTTCATCAGGCCAATTGTAGTCAGAATAGAGCCAAGGTTACCAAGATCAGGAGTGATGTGATGAGTGGCAGCAGAATCCATCAACTTGGAGTCCTGACGAGGACCAGAAGAGGAGGATGCCCCAGCGGTGTGATTGGCTTGAGCAAGGCGCTCTTCAGGAAACAGTTGATAGCACTGGCGAGCATTGTAGCCAGGCTTTTCGCAATACTGACAGTAGACACGAGGACGAAGCTGCTCGCCACCAGAGTCAGAGGACGGAGGTGCCCATGGCGCAGGAGATGAAGAGTAGCCAGAGGATGGAGGCGGACCACTAGATGAGGAACGGCCGCCACCACGGCCGGGAGCACCACCACGACGGTATCGAAAGGATCCCCTCCCGCATTGAGTAGCAAAGGCGATAGCAGGCTGATCGCGGTGAGTGGCTTTGAGATCAGCCTCGAGAGAGATAAGACGATCTAGTAAGTCTTCCAAGTTAGTAGGCACATCACGAGCACGAATTCCAACAACGAACTCGCGATAATCATCACCAAGACCACACAGAAAAACGGCGACGAGCTCATCATTGAGAACAGGCGAGCCAGCAAGCGCTATCTCAGCGGTGATCGAGCGAATGGACTAAACAAAGGCAACGACATCACGGTCGCTGATAGCGATGTATTTGCACATGTTTGCACCCTTAGTTCTTATCCGTTTGCGGCGAGTATTAGTGTATTTTTGGCCCGTTTTATGCCGGGTTGTGCTACTTTGTCATATTTCAGATCCCAGACGTCGAAGGAAAGGCTAAGCACGAGTTTCGGGGCATTTGAAAGTGATTCGGTCGAGCTGGGGCCAAAGCACGGGCTGGCCTAAACCAAAACACGGCCGTGTACACAAACAGGCACGCCAGTGTTTTTATTGCCGAGTGCTGAACTGATGGAAAAGCAAAACACGCGTTGGCCTAAAGCAAAACACGGTCGTGTCCATATTTAGGCACGACCGTGTTTTGGCCGACGCGGGCGTATTTTTAACACGGGGCAAAATACGGGATGGCAAAACCAAAGCACGGTCGTGCCCTCGACCGTGTTTTGCCCAGGGTCGGCCTTTTAGGTAGATTTGAGCCAAAGGAGAAGGGGTTCCGAGTTTTAGAGAGACAGAGCGATTCCTAGAGAGAGAAAGCGACGAACCAGAGTTCCCAAGTGCCCTAGCTTGATCTTCATCACCATTGGAGCCCGGCTTGAGCTTGGAGAAGTGCAGATTGACGACCAGGAGTAGAAACCCATCCTTCACAGTATGGTTTCCGCATCAGAATTTGCTTTTGCTTCTCTCTCCATGGAGTAGTTTTCCCATTCATCTGGGTATGGAGAAGCCTAGATTTGTATGTTAGGTCTGATTGTATGAACCCAAGTACAGATTTTATGATTTGATTATATTCAATTGAGGCTTGAATGATTGAATGACTTGAATCCTGATCAAATTCCTGTTATTTCTGCTTTAGCCTAGAAAGAGAATATCTGCCTAGGTTAATAGAGCACCCTTAATTGAAGGTAGTGAATTGGCGACTTTAGTCGCGGAGCCAAATCACTATTCTGTACCGAATTTACTTCGGTAGTGGAGGTTTGGTTCGTTAGGGCCTCAATCTGTTTACTTCGGTGGAGGTTAGTAGCCCGCTGGGGACTCATATTGAGAGGGTCTGGAAACCTTTAGTCGAGACTTCAGACTGCTTAAGAACCTCCCGCAGTATATCTATCATTAAAACTGAACTTGGTAAATTGCAATCCGGCTTAACTGCAGTCTAGGGGGAACCATATCCGGGTGACCTCTCTCGACTTGAAAACAATTGTTTAATTGCTTGCTTTACTTGTTTGCTTGTTTGAGCCTGCACTAAAGTTTTACCGCTAAATAATAAGAATTCGCTGAGTAGTCATCACATCTAGGACCCGGGTTGACATTAAAACCCAAACCCGCTATACTACGCTTTAGAAAGTGGTTACACTTGGCCATTTTCTAGAGTGACAGTAGGAGTGAGTCAAGTTTTTGGCGCCGTTGCCGGGGACGGCTAGGTTGTTGAAGAAACGTGAATTCTGTTAATTTAGCTTTTCTTTTCGCATTGTTTGCTTTGTCGCACTTGTGCCTTCATGGGTTTGCTTGCTTGACTGTGTGCAGGTAGTGCATGACCCGTAGCCAGTTGGAGGTTTACTGCCGTTGAATCCGGAGCTTGAACGCACCTATCGCCAACTCAGGAGACAACAGCGAGCTAGACTGGCTACGGAGGAGCGCATAGACGGCCATTTGAGCAGCGAGTCCGAGGACGAGTACGAGATGGAAGGAGATTACAATCCACACCAGGGGAATCCTCACCAGGTTCCCCCGGTGAATCAGGTCTTGGGGAACAACCCCATACCCCAGGCAGATGGGGTTCATCATCATCCACCGCCGCCGGGTCCCACCTTGGAGTACTACTACACTCCACGGATTGCTGACATCCGCCCGGTCATCCTCTACCCGCCTATTCCAGTGAACAGCTTTGAGATCAAGCCATGCTGGATTCAACTCATTACATCCTCTATCCAGTTCCATGGCTTGAAGGATGAGGAGGCAAGGGTGCATCTTTCCCGTTTTTTGCAGCTAACGAACGGGTTCAAGCTAAACGGTGTCCCTGATGACGCAATCCGCCTTCATCTCTTTCCCCATTCTCTGGCGGGGAATGCTAAGAGGTGGTTGGAGACCCAGTCCCCATTGTCCATCACTTCTTTGGACGATCTGGCCGACAAGTTCGTGCACAGGTACTATCCAGCATCGAAGACCACAGAGATCCAGCGGGAGAACACTCACTTCCGCCAAGAGCCAGACGAGTCACTTCGTGATGCATGGGAGTGGTACATGGGATATATCTGGCAGTGTCCCCATCATGGCTTCAGTGATGCATTCACAGTGGGGAACTTCTACACTGCTCTCTCTCCGGACAGCGAGAGGGCGATTGAGTCTTTATGTCCAGGAGGGGACATTCTTACTAAGACTCCACCCAAACTG